GTTCCTGGTGGATAGCCTCAAATGCACATGGCTTGCAATCATTTGACTCCAATAAGTTGCCTAAATAGCTTTTCTCTTCTAGTGCATTCAACTTGCTTGCCAATTTCTCTATTTCAGTCTGTTTGATAACTTTAGCAAAATCTGGGGTGGGATTATACACTTCCTCTTCGGGTAGTTGTGATCTTTTACGCTTATTACTGTTTTTAATATCTTTTTCGTAAACAGCCTTTTTAAAAACAATGCTTTCATACAGAACTGCCTCATCCGACTCATTCTTTCTCGGTACATGCCATTGCTGTAATAACTGTGTGCAAGTAAGGTGATCGGGGATTTCAGTCATGTCTAATTGTTTATATTCGATTACTTGAAACAGCAATGCAACAATATGTTTACATTGTCCACCTTTGCCAGCTTTACATGTGCAGTTGCTATATACAACCTCCCCATTGGCTTCATTTAAATTTACTATTTATAATTTAACTAAATATTTTTATATCCTATCCAAAAATTTATATACAAAATCTAAAACGACTTTAAGAAGGCCTAAAAAGTTTAATATTTGAATATACCTAAATTTATTTACCTAAAATTATTCTAGAACTCACGAGTAATTTAAAAAATTTAAGAATGGAGGACACGAACCAAATTGCACTTCAGCTAGAGGACAAACAACAGCAGTAAACCCAGAAAAATCTTTTATTTTTAAATTTTCTTGCTACAATTGAAGGCTGCTTATTTAAATTCAGGGTATTTTCGCGCCAAAACAAAGGTAAAACATTAGGTGAAGTGAGGGCACGTCCAATGGCAAATTCGAACACAATCGTGACAAAAGTTGTAAATTTCCCGAAGCTTAAAATGCCATTTCGACACGCGAACATGTAAAACAACTATGAGATCGAATACAAACAACTATCAGAGCATCTTATTTTGAAATAATATTTAGCCGATCGCATATTGAAACGCCAACTCACCTGCTTTAGTTGGGAAGGTTAGAATTTCGCGAGCAAATTTCTGCAAGGCATGTTTACAAGACGTGCCCCTCTCAACGCATTTTCTCGGCCGCTAATGGACAGAAATTCCACAAATTTCCCCAGAATATAGCGAAAAGCGCCCTTGTTATGTTCCATAACAAAAAACGTATTGATCGATGCAATAAATAGTTTAAAATCCGCCATATATTCCTCCAAACAAAATCGTCCGCTCCCACGGCGGCCATTTCGTTTGGAAGCAGCCTACAGCCTCCTACCGTCATGCTTAGCGGCCCGAAATCTATAATGCGAGTTGTCCATTGCGCTCTGATTCCTACCTGACAGTGTTAAACTGACGGGCCTTCAAAAAGGCATAGGCACCTTGATAAGAGGGTTGGTTGGACCAAGCACGAACAAAATGTTTTTCAATCATATTTTCCTCCTTGATTTCGGGGTGGAATTCTGCGATTTGCTCAATTGCCTCCAGTTCGACTTGCTCCTTCGTCAAGAAACCAAACATCAGTGCGTCATTCTTCAAAGTGAAAACCATAATTATTCCTTGCTTCGTGGACTCGACATATTCCGGGTCCGGCTTGACGTAATGAATTTGGCCGATAGGGAGGTTAGTCTTGGAAAAGCCACCTTGAATATTGTACTTTTTGTCCTCCCAGAATCGTCTTTTGGTTTGGAGAATGATCTTGGTGGACGGTGAGATAATGAAGTTGTCGATGGCTTGAAGACTCTTTCGCTGTTCATGTTTAACATTTTTGTCCTCAACCAGCGGTTCAAAAGTGAGTTGCCGCAATATGTTCACCGCTGTGGTAACAATTACAGCCTGTATCAAAAGGAAACAAGGCTGAAAAATAAGTCACCTTATGGAACATTATATACGATATCATATTGCCAGCTCAAAGTTTCTCATTTTTGGGGTTCTTTGTCGCTTTATCAGGGTCTTTCTCAAAAATGCGTCAGTCTGGAGGGGAGGGGGGCGCAGAGCAATTGCATAGTATGACGTAAATTGGTGAGAAAGCTCTCAACCCATCTTGGAAAGGGAGAGGGATAGTATGTCCTCAGAAAATGTTAAGAACATTAAGCCAGGAAATTATGCACCCAACTATTTCCGGCAATAGTTTTAGTGAAAATGATAATTTGTATATCAATTGGTGATAGGCTGATATATTTCTGAAACGCATGTGCACTGTAATGTCTTTCGGCAAAGTGTCTTTCGGCAAAGTGTCTTTTGGATTTTTCTCTCGCGAAGATATAGCCGTACAAATGTCGAAAAATCGGCCATTTTGTTACTAAAAATAGAAGAAAATGGCCAATTTTTAGAAATTTGAGTCATGATATCTTCGCAAGGAATGGTTGTATTTAGAAACAGACTTCAGTTTTAAGACTCTCTCAATGTCGTCTACCGAAAAAGTGCATCAAATTAACAATAGCTAACTGTTAATTTTTTAGCGGCAAGTTTGTGACGTCATTTTGACGCAAAAAATGTAGCAATTCGAAAAACAAAAAACATACGATTTGTAAGTATGACATGTTCTATGTTTATGGGAAATTATGTAGAAACAGGATGAAAATTAAAGAAATTGAAGCACATTGGCGCTTTGGCATGCATTTTTGTCAGGCGTGGTTCTTGTTTAGACAACTTTATGCCAAAACGTTATTACAAACTTTTAATTTTTAACTTAACCGAAATAAACCAATCCCTGCTATGCCAACACCTCTGCTGCTGTCATGTGTTGAAAGTATGCAGTACTTATTTATTTGTTAAATTAACATGCATAGTATTGTGTTGTATCATATTTGTACGTCTTAGTAAATAAACATCCTTAATTAAAGCAGAAATCTGAAAGAGGTACAGTACATGTATTGCATGTATAATACCGGCAGTATGTATAAAATATTAATTTTGAGCTACTTTAACAATTATGTCAGAAAGACAAATGGCGTTAACATGACTCCTGGCTACATCATTATGCATTTAAGTTGTTTTCGATATTAATTAATGAGTATAAGACCAATTTCATAATTGGGACTATAAATTTAAATATTATTTTATGTTCATCTTAATAAGCCTGTTTGGCCTCTTTCTGTGGTTGAAATTATTAGAACTTGTTAACTTCAGCAAGGCCAAGCAGGCTTACTAAGATGTCGTATGCCTAAAAGAACATTTAAATTGGTCTCAAGTTGGTATTTTCACGGGTATTTTCTATTTGTGCACCCGCGGTATAATTCATATTTTCAATTTTTTCAAGCACGTTAATACTACATGTAATGACAGCCGCCTAAAGTCCCCCTTTTGTCCAATGAATCTAATCACCCGCCAAAATTATTTTGAGCCTTTGGAATTTGAAATGGATCTTGAAATTTTGTTGAATTAACAGTTTAGCTGACGATATTTGCATCTAGGACTAGGATCCACACACTGAAACGTTGAATATAAATAAAGAATTTTCATACAGTATTCTGATAATTCTGTACATAGTTAGTATAATTCTGTACATAGCATAATTGTGTACATAGTTTCCAGCGAAAAGCGTGCCTGAGGCTGCTAAAGAACAAACCGCGACACTTCATTTGGGAAGACAAACTACAGCTTTGAATTTGAATGTCAATATCAGTGAAATAGAAAACGAGAATGACGATTTCCACAGTGAAGACGAGGTGGACATTAGTGAGGTTGACTGCGCTCTTGCAATTGATCATATAGAAATGGTCGAAAAATAGCTATATACGCCACAATGTAGGTATTGTTTTATTTGATTAGTTGGTAAATATTGGAATCGATAAATGTAGGAGATTCGGTTTTTAATTATGTGTAGTTTTGTAAAAAAATTAAATAATTCCAAATCATTTATGCACTGGCGATGAGGACAGCGATTAGTCAAGCACGTCTTCTTATCCTTATCCATATTATTGATGCGAGGAACAAGTTTCCTACCGACTCTGCTCCTTTTCAACTTTAAGATATAAATTCAAACATTTATTCGAGAAAAGAATTGCGCCTTTTAGGTGCTTTGATTAGGTCCTTGCCAGCCTAATGAAGATGATCTGGAAAACGGTTTTCCAACTACTGAGGAGACAAAGCGGTCTTTTTACCAAGCCTGGTATTTTAAGTCTCAAAGACATTGGTTAGTTTACCCTCCAAGAACAGACCGGATGGTCTGATTTTGGTGTACCCTGTTTATTCTTGAAGGAACTCACATTAGTGAAGATAACTGGACAAAGATTGGTGTCAACAACTGGAAGAAAGGATCGGAGAGGATCAAAGGCTATGAAAACACTGATATTCGCAAGACCGCTGCATTCCAGTACTCGTGTTTTATAGCAGCAAGTGACATCGAGCATTCTCTGAAAGTGCAAAACTGGCCCAAAAGGAAAGAAGAGAACACGTTGAAAAGAACAGAAAAGTAATTTCAACGTTGTTCAACAAAACAAACCTTCCCAGTTTTCAACGTCAATTTGGCTTCGTATCTCAAAGAGAACGAGAACTATTGTCGATGCACATCGTCTGTATGAGTCAGTCATGACGTGTAGACGTATGTTAGATGACTCTGTCATTATTGAAAATTATTTTACTCTATCGCAAAGTTCAGAGCATGAATATATATTATTATTATATACACAAGGTCTGGATATGAGGTATTCTGCAATCTGATTGGTTCTCTACTAGCAGGATATTAGCTCATATCCTGCTAGTAGAGAAAAACAAAATGGCGCCCAAACTGAATTTACGATGTTTTGCAAACGAGAAAACGGCAAGTTGTCGCTTTTTATAGCCTTCACAGGATTAAAAACACAATGAAAAAACTCCCACAAATTGTTTTCAGGTTAGCAAATAAATTTTTAATATTTAAAATGGTTAAAAATATATATTTTGGAAAAAATAATCGGCCGAAAGAGCGAAGATAAAGAAAAATATTGAAAATATTCGAAAAGCAAAGTCTGTGAATTCAGACCTTGTGTATATAATAAAACAGTTATTCCACTCACTCTCGTTGAATATGAGCGATAGCCGATTCGGCGCTACGCGTCTCATCGGCTATCAGCTCATATTCGACTCGAGTTCGTAGAATAACTGTTAAATATCTATGAAAATCGGCCTTATTTGTCTCGGCAGCGAAACAAATGTTGCGCAGAAGCTACACTAAATTTTTTTAGGCAACAATGTTAGTAGCGATTTTATGAAAACCCTCAGCTTAATTCCAAATGAAAGAGGTTTTAAGATGGCTTTTCCAAATATTGTTAGTTTATGTCAAATATCAAATTAATAATGTCAAATAAGTTCAATTCATTGATCTGATTGCTTTTAATGAGACTTAATGCAAATATAATGACTTAATGCAAATATAACAGATAATACAGTATGATCAACCTGGAAAGCTACGATGTTTATAGAAAAGATCAAGAGATCAAGAACTGGTGGTGGAGTTTGTATCTATCTGCGTAGCTCTATGAAATACTAAATAGGAGATGATCTAGTTTCTTCTGAACTAGAAGCTATTTGTATTGAAATTATTAAGCCACGTAGCAAACCGTTTCAGGATACAACAGTTTATAGATCACCCAGTCCCCCCATTAGAATTCTTTGACCATTTTGAAAAATTGATCAAAGCTATCGATAATGAAAATAAAGAAATGCATGCACTTGGTGATTTGAACTGTAATGTGCTACAAACAGATAAAGATTCTAACACCCTAACAAAGAAAGTTAAGTCATTATACGAATTATATCAGTTAATTATCACAACTGATAGATGAAGTTACTCGAATAATTATGGCAACCATCAGTCTAATAGATCATATGGTTACTATATAACACACCAGAGAAAATTTCTGATTCTGGTGTCATTCACCCAGGTAGCTGGCTATAAGCGATCATAATTTAGTTTTTGCAATTAGGAAAATTTCTGTTGTAAAAATAAACCAAGAAAATACTGTTGAAGTTAGAAACATAAAAAATTTTGATCAATAAAATTTTGTTGCAGAACTGCTGAAACATCACGGGAATTTTTTGCCATGTGGGAAATTTGGAAAAATTTATTTTAGAGGTCCTAGTTAAGCATGCTCCACAAATCAGATAAAAAAAGTCTCTTGGATTACAAGCGATATAAAGAAGCTTATATGCAGCTAATTCAAAGCAGATTGTCCTTCGAAAATCTCAAACCTTAAACTCTAAGCGCGCAAAAAATGATCGGTAACTTCTTTTTAGGGCTTTTGATTGGGCAAATAAACCTAGTTCACTGCTAGTTGCACATCTTAAGTGCTTATTATCTGCCTTGTCATAGCTACAATGTAAAATTCGCACGTTTTAGGTCTTAAGTAAGACGTTACCCAACACACCTTGCGCGCTTAGAGTGTAAGGTTTGAGATTTTTGAAGGACAACCTTTCTTAAAACAGCTGTATAAAATACAAGGGACAAGTAAAAACGAAAAGCAAAATTTTTACAAATTAACCTAGGAAATGGTTGGTTATATTATAAAACAACTAGAAATAAAGTAAATATAGAATTAAGGAATGCCAAGAAAGACTACTATTCCTCGAAAATAGCTGATCAAAAATTCGATCCTAAAAGTTCTTGAAAAAGTATTAACAACTTATTAGGTAGGCAAAACAAACCAACAGTGGTAAATGAAATAATTATAGATCAAAACAATTCAAGAGGCTGTCTCTCTAAGAACCGACCAACGACTCTCGGCTCATAAAATGAAATTCTTCGTTACTTTCACAATGAAATGTATTTACCCCAAGAACAAACAAACACTATTTGGAATTTTGAAATTTTATTAATTTTTAAAATTTCAGCGACTTTTCGGCCCCCGCCGTCGGGCAGAAAATCCTCTGCCTAAACCAGGAATAAAAATTAGCCGAATTCAAATACATATAATTTTAAAAGTATTCAACCAAATTTTATGATTTTTTGACCCACCAACGTGAAAATTATTCTACTTTGAAACTTGCCTTGTTTTATGATACTTTTACAGAAAGATTATGGCAAACTTTAGCGATAACAAGCACCGGGTGTAAATACGGCTTTGTACGCATATCAAATTCGACTTTAAATTTCTCAAAAGTGGCACCTAACTGGATTCAGTGACAAATATGGTTAAAAAAATGGAAGTTTGAAGTACCCATATCCACAATAAAACTTGTTACTGACCGCGATTTGAAGACTCGACAGCCTCTGAAATTTGATACAATTTGGCTATTTTGTTTAGCTTCAATTATAGCGGAGTTGAGACGTCAGAGCTTCCAGTCACTTGTAAAATGCGCTCTTGTTCCGTTTCTTTACACAAGCCTTTAAATCATCGTAGCTAAGCGATTTTTCTGTGTTCATGAACATCACAAGTGGGTTTAATTACTCGCTGGGGCACTCTGTGGCCCAGACGAGTATAGGTTTCGGCTCACATTTGTGGTGGATCTCCAATCGTCGATAGCCACAAAATAGAATATTAATGAGCTGCCTAATTTTCCCCCAATTATCCATAAGGCTCCTGCCAATTTTACCCAAATTATCCATAAATAGCCCTCCATTTTGAGGAAAATTCGGGAAAATTGAGCAATTTTACAAGGAATTTCGCATGGAAACAGCAACCTTCGCAAATCGCAAGTTTACAAAAGTTTATACGTTTGACTGCGCTGTTTTATATTTTGAGAAGAAAGCAACACCGTTTGATTCAGCGTAAGAAATTGTACTTACGAATGTCAAGTGTATTACTAAATACCCGTATTCTAGCGATTTATGGCCTTTGAAAATGAAGCGAAATTGTATTGTTGAAATATCGCTCGCAGTACGTTTGTCCACAGGTTTGTCCTTGTATTTGTAATGCTTAATGGCGCAATGGGGATAAAAATACCACCGTTCGATTCAGCGTAAGAAATTGTACTTACGGATGTCAAATGTGTTGCTAAGCACCAGTATTGTAGCGATTTATGGCCTTTGAAAATGAAGCGAAATTGTATTGTTGAAAAATCGCTCGCAGTGCGTTTCATAGTGTTTTGTAATGCCTAATGGCCCAATCAATAAGGATAAAAATACCACCGTTCGATTCAGCGTTAGAAATTGTACTAATTACGAATGTCAAGTGTATTACTACACAACAGTGTTCTAGCGATTTATGGCCTTTGTCTTTGAAAGCCAAGCGAAATTGTAATGTTGCCAATCGCTCAATATTATTAAACTAATTATAAAAAAAATGCAGTACGTTTGACCCTTGATAACTTTGGCATCATTGGTTTTCTCTTTTTCGGCCGTATACCAGTGGATTCGTCTCACTCCTCGCTTCATTTTGATAGTATTTTGAGCCCAAAAATATTTTGTTTTGAACGTTTTAAAGCGCGGTTTAATCCTAGACCAACTAGCGGCTGACAGTTTTGAAGAAGAATGTAGCGTACTAAATATAACTTTACTTGTAGGGCCTTCCGCATTTTAGTACTGTGTTATTAGCCTTTCGCGCTCGTATTCGACTTTTCCGCTTAGCTCGGGGAAAACCTTAAATCTCAATTGAAAGAGCTGTGTACTGTACGTATCATGTACATTGTACAGTAATGTGCGTAGTTCTATAGCCCCAGCGAGTTAACGCTCCACAGAGCGTCTTGTTACAGTAGGTATGTTATTATACGTAATATATAAGCTTCAATTTAAGGTAAAATTCAACCACAAACGCTTCGCAAAACGTTTGAAAGTGTTCTTTTAATATAGAACTAAACTGCCTTTATCGATAAACTTTGAGTTCGAAATAAAATGTAAATATTCTGCCATGTAAATAACTTTGCTTAGTATAATAAAAAGTGTAATCAATAAAGAAACACTGAAATAATACGCTGTCTTGTTTCATATTTTATATATGCAACGATCGGCTTTTAAAGTAATTACAGCCGAGATTACAGTATATTAAAAGCAAACAATGCATCAATATTTCAAACAAACTTACCTTCGTTAACGTCGGCACCTTTACTTCCTTCTTTTAGCAATCCTCTTGCCTTTATTTCATCAAAAATCCTTTGCAATTTACAAAATCTTGCAAAAATGAAATATATTTGCGAGAAATCATCATTCATCAAATCAATTTCGCTGTCGTCAATCGTCATGCAGCCGTTATAATGCCAATTTTAAATTGGACCAATCAGTGTTGGCTATTCATTACAGTCCGCTATATTATGAGATCAGTGACGATGACCACCCACCGAAACACGCACAGTGACCCACGCCCGCGATATTTGATGAACTTTAGACTTCGCTAATGCTTTCGTTTCCCCGGGTGTAAATAGCCGGGGGGAATTAGTACCCTCGCACGGCGCTTCGCGCCGTCGGCTCGGGGATGATTTTATAACGCACGATTAAATTTACTCTATTACTCTATATACATACTTATACAATAAAAATTTTAAAGTTTCATCAAGTCCGGATTCACTCAGTTCTTATTTCGACAACAAAAAAATGTAGTAGGTTGACCTTATTGCAATATTAATAATCTTTTTAATAACGTATCTTACATGAGCTTTATCTAAATT